CTGGGGGCAGGTGGCCTTTAGGGTATAAATAGTCCTACTGGGAAATTGTGCACAGGCTAGTGGGTAGAACCTCATACATTCTCTTTACTGGGCTTTTCCTCCGTGCTAAGAAACTCCAGAGTGACCGTTCTCTCTCCGAGTGCCCCCTCTCACCCATGCTGAGACTTAGCAAACCACAAACGAGCCCCCAAAATTGCAAGTTCCAATCCTTTGGTTTTCCCAGATTGCTCTGGCATGAAGTCTGCCTGTGCCATTTTCGGAGGCTAATTCTCTGTCTCTCTCCCCCTCCCAGATGGCTACACGGTGGAAGATATCATGTTATCCTGGGAAGACGATGGGAACGCCATCCGTATGACTGAGGACCTGCACATCCCTCAGTTTTCTTTCCTGGGGAGGACAATCACTAGCAAGGAAGTGTATTTCTACACAGGTGGGTCTGACCTCTTCCTTCCCCTTGTCTCTAGTCCCCTTTGCACCCCTGTAAGCTCCTGGGGACCTCTGCCTTTGACCCCTCCACTCTCCGCTGCCTTCTTTCTCCTTTCCCTCTGGTTCTGGACACCTGCCAGGCCCCCTTGACAAAGCTCCAGTGGCTCACCTTCTGTGGAGGGGGAATGGGTGTGGGAGCACTTGGCCAGGTTTGCAACACTCTACAGGTGTAAAGGATTCCTGCTCCTCTCACCCTCCACCTGATTGCAGCTTGGAAACATCTCTTGTTTCTCTCATTCCAAAACTTCAGCTCACATGGAGCAAGTGAGGAAAGATGGGGGAGAAAGCAGACTTGCTGTGCCACACGGGCCTCCTGAGACATGCCATGGTCACTGGCTTCCTCGGGCAACAAGTGGGGCCAGTTCTGAGACTTGCCCAGGCTGGATGCCTCTGGACACAGTATTAGAGGCTGAACTACCCATCAGTCTCCCTCCTCCCCTCCTCCTCCATCCTGTACCCCTCCACCCTGCAAACCACCCTGAACCCGTGTGTCCCTTGCCAGGTTCCTACATGCGCCTGATACTGAAGTTCCAGGTCCAGAGGGAAGTCAACAGCCACCTTGTGCAGGTCTACTGGCCTACCGTCCTCACCACCATTGTCTCCTGGATTTCGTTTTGGATGAACTACAGTTCTTCTGCAGCCAGAGTGACAATTGGTAGGTCCTATCTCTATTCTGCAGAAGAACTTGGGTCCTTTTGCTCAGAAAAAAAAGAAGAGTAAGGAAGGGGTACCTGGAGCAGTGTGTGACTGGTCGGGCAAGGAAACACGGAGGTTTTCCCCTAGTCATTTGTACAGGTGACCAGCCAGTCTTCAGTGGAGATACCAACACTGGAGACAGATGTAAAAAAAAAAAA